GGCAAGAAGGCAGCGGGTCCAGATGGCATCAGCTCGAGGGTCGTCAGGTCCTGCGCGGACCAACTGTGTGGGGTGATGGAGCACCTCTTCAGCCTGAGGTTGGGAAGAGTTCCACAGCTCTGGAAAACCTCCTGTGTTGTACCAGTGCCAAAGACTTCACGCCCCAAGGACCTCAACAGCTACAGGCCGGTGGCTCTGACATCCCACCTGATGAAGACCCTGGAGCGGTTGGTCCTGGCTCAGCTTCGGCGCCTAATAAGCTCATCACTGGACCCACTTCAGTTTGCCTACCAGCCTGGCATTGGAGCGGATGATGCCGTCATTCACCTCCTACATTGTTCCCTCGCTCACCTGGAGACCGCTGGAAGCACTGTGAGAATCATGTTCTTTGATTTCTCCAGTGCCTTCAACACCATTCTTCCCTCGGTTCTAAAGGACAAGCTGGTGAACTCTGGAGTGGACCATCACCTCACTACCTGGATCCTGGACTACCTCACCGACCGACCACCGTATGTGAGGACTCAGGGCTGTGTGTCGGACAGGGTCGTCTGCAGTACGGGGGCCCCACAGGGAACGGTTCTGGCTCCATTCCTCTTCACCATCTACACTGCAGACTTCTTCCACAATTCCACCCAGTGCTTCCTGCAGAAGTTCTCTGATGACTCTGCAATAGTCGGCCTCATCACTGATGGGGACGACAAGGAGTACAGAGGTCTGACCCAAGACTTTGTGGACTGGTGCCAGCTGAACTACCTCCAGATCAACGCCAGTAAAACCAAGGAACTGGTGGTAGACTTCCGCAGGCACAAGCATTCTCCACTGCAACCACTGAACATCCAAGGTATGGACATTGAGGCTGTGGACAGCTACAGGTACCTTGGTGTTCATCTGAACAATAGACTGGACTGGACTCATAACTCAGACGCCCTCTACAGGAAAGGGCAGAGCAGGCTGTACCTGCTGCGGAGACTCAGGTCGTTTGGAGTGGAGGGCCCACTCCTGAAGAAATTCTATGACTCTGTTGTGGCTTCTGCTATCTTTTATGGTGTGGTCTGCTGGGGCGGCAGCATCTCTGCTGGGGACAGGAAGAGACTGAACAGGGTGATCCGAAGGGCCAGCTCTGTTCTAGGATGCCCTCTGGACCCAGTGGAGGTGGTGAGTGACAGGAGAACGGCGGCTAAGCTGTCATCCCTGATGGACAACATCTCCCACCCCATGCAGCAGACTGTGACAGCACTGAGCAGCTCCTTCAGTGGGAGACTGCGGCACCCACGGTGTGGGACGGAGAGATTTCGCAGGTCTTTCCTCCCCACTGCTGTCAGACTCCATAATAAAGACTTTAACTGATCAAGCACACACATCCATACATATGCAATAATACTAAGTGCAATAATCCTTTGTGTCATCGTTGTATTTTTACTCAGTTGTATATAGTATTTGTATTTGTATTCTATTTCTATCTTATTGTATATTTATTTTATTTTATTCTACTGTATATAGTATTTTATTTTATTCTATTCTGTACAGTTGTGTACTGTATTTATTCTTATTGTATTCTAATTTTTGCCTCATAACTTTTGCACTGTCCACTTCCTGCTGTGACAAAACAAATTTCCCACGTGTGGGACTAATAAAGGTTATCTTATCTTATCTCTTAAGGCATATGTGCGTGGGCAAATAATTTCTTTCTCTGCCCATTCCACTAAAAGCCACAAAGCCAAACTTCAAACTTTGACTACACAAATTTGTGACATAGATAGACAGGTTGTTGACAGTCCCACTCCTGATTTGCATAAAAGACGACTTGACTTGCAGACCGAATTTGATTTACTTTCTACGGCAGATGCTGAACGTCTCTTACTTCGTGCGCGTGCGACTTATTATGAACATGGTGATAAGCCCAGAAGGCTTTTGGCCCATCAGTTAAAACGTCAGGCCTCTTCTCGATTAATTTCTCAAATTAAAGATGCGGCAGGCAACTTGGTCTCTGATTCAAAGGAAGTCAACGAGGTGTTTAAGACGTATTATTCCTCCCTATATGAATCTGAATCTGCTGCTGACGCCTCTGAGATGGATTCCTTTTTTAACGGTCTTATAATGCCCACTGTCGATCCTGTTATAGCTGAACAATTAGATGCCCCTTTTAGGTTGGATGAAATTGTGCATGCAATCAAGACCATGCACAATAGTAAGGCACCAGGATCTGATGGGTTTTCAGTTGAATTTTTAAAAACATTTGTAGACAAGTTAGCCCCACTACTTCTTTCAGTGTATAATGAATCTTTTGTACGTGGTCTATTGCCCCCTACATTGTCTCAAGCACTAATTACTGTTCTCTTAAAGAAGGGTAAGGATCCTACGTCTTGCACCTCGTATAGGCCTATTTCACTGCTGAATGTTGATGTTAAAGTCTTGGCTAAAATTTAGCAATTCGCCTTGAAAAGGTTCTTCCTACTATTATTTCAGATGAACAGAATGGCTTTATTAAAGGCCGCCAGCTGTTCTTTAATGTCCGCACGCTTTTGAATGTCATTCTTTCCCAACACTCGACCACTAATTCAGAAGTAGTTATCTCACTTGATGCTGAGAAAGCTTTCGATCGTGTGGAGTGGAACTTTCTCTTTGCGGTCTTGCAAAGATTTGGTTTCAAGGACAGATTCATTTCATGGATTCGACTGTTGTACAAGGCACCCCAAGCCAGTGTCTATACAAATGGTGTTTCCTCTGGCTACTTCTCATTGTCACGCGGCACGAGACAGGGTTGCCCCCTGTCCCCCCTACTTTTTGCTATTGTAATTGAACCCCTATCTATAGCTTTGAAGGCTCTTCCTCATTTTCGTATTTCCCGGTCAGGCCTTGACGTAAAATTGTCTTTATATGCAGATGACCTGCTTCTATATGTTTCTGATCCCTTATCTAGCATACCATCGATTGTGTCTCTATTAAACAAGTTCGGCTCTCTGTCAGGTTACAAAATAAATCTTCTTAAAAGTGAATGTTTCAGACTTAGCCCTGCCGGCTTTAAGTATTTGGGAGTTAACGTGACTCGTACTTTGTCTTCTCTATACTCTTCCAATTTCTCCCCTTTAATGACTCAAATTCAATCGGATTTTCAGAGATGGAAATCGCTACCTTTGTCCCTAATTGGTCGGATCAATGCTGTAAAGATGAACATTTTGCCTCGATTGTTATTTCTGTTTCAGAGTATTCCTATATTTTTACCTAAAGCTTTTTTCAAAAAGTTAGACCAGCTAGTTACATCGTTTTTGTGGGGAGGGAAACACCCCAGGGTGAGGAAATCATTATTACAGAGACTGACATTTGATGGTGGTCTTGCCTTGCCTAACTTTTTATTTTACTATTGGTCCTCTCATGTTCACAAATTGACCCATTGGCTTGAATCTCAAGAACTGCTGTGGTGCAAACTGGAACGCCTGTCGTGCACTTCCTCATCCTTAGAAGCTTTATTGTTCTCTCCACTACCACTTAAGCCTTCTCATTTCACCCAAAATCCCGTGGTACAGTCTAGTCTAAGGGTCTGGTCACAATTCAGGAGTCATTTTAAGTACATCTCTGCGTCAGTACACATGCCCATCACGCAGAACCATCTGTTTACTCCTGGCTTCATTGATGGTACCTATGTACAGTGGAAGCATCATGGTATTAATACGTTTAAGGATCTCTATAAAGATGGTACTTTCTTAACTTTTTTAGACCTGTGTTCAGAAACAAATCTTCCGGCTACCAATCTATTCCGTTATTTTCAGGCACGGCATTGCACTTCTGCTCTCTTCCCCTCCTACCCTCTTCTTCCAAATGTCCAACCGTGGGAGGAATTCTTATCCCTTAAACCCAATAAGAAGTCAATTATATCTTTAATATATAAACAACTTATGGATTTAAATGTCCATTCAGTTGCTAAAATTAGGGGGGCTTGGGAGCGGGAGTTAGGAGTAATTTTTTCGGATCAGCAATGGGAGAAGGCAGTATCCAATGTCCGTTATAGTACGTCCTGTGCCAGGTTACAACTTATCCAGTTCAAGGTGTTGTACAGGGTTTACTATTCAAAGTCTCGTCTGTCTGAGATTTACCCACAAGTGATGGATCAGTGTGAGAGATGTCATGCCACCCCATGTGACCTAGGCCATATGTTCTTTCTGTGCCCAAGACTCCATGGCTTCTGGAGTCAGTATTCAGTTATTCTTTCCAAGGCTCTTGGGACCCAAATCTACATGGACCCTTTTCTAGCTGTTTTTGGGCTTCCAGTCAACACTGGTCTAACCGACCCTACACACTTCAAAATATTAGCCTTTACATCACTTTTGGCTAGACGTTGCATCTTACTCCTTTGGAAATCTTCAAAGCCACCTTCAGTTTCTTTTTGGTTTAGAGATGTGATGTCATTTCTTAAATTGCAAAAGATAGGCCTTGTGGCGAAGGGAAATACAGAGAATTTTATCGTATCTGGGGCCCCTTCGTAGACTATTGCAAGTCATTACACGCTCTACCAGCTGATTAATATCATATCTCTTCCCCCCCCCTTTTTTTTTTGTGTGTTTTGGGGTTTGTTGTTTGTGTTTGTTTTGGGTTTCTTATTAGGTTTTGTCTTGTTTGTTTATTTAAGCGTGTGTGTGGGTGTGCCTGTGTGTGTGTGTGTGTGTGTTATCGTATCTGTTCATGTAAGAAAAACTAAAAAATATGTGAGGGGAACAGATTGTATTGTCATTGTAAACCACTGTACACTTGTCTCTCAATAAAAATATGAGAAAGAAAAAAAAAAAAAAAAAAGAGTATACCTGATAACCCAGGTGGTTTTGGAGAGTTGTTTATTAACATCAGAGTCTCTGGTAGCCTTCCTGGCCTTTTTATCAGCCATTGGAAAACAGCCTGATTTTAGTAAACGGCGTCGAGTGAGTTAACTGTCTTCCATGCAGTGTTTACTTTTTGCAAAGCCAGTCAAACCCCCCCCCCCACCCACCCACCCACCCTGCAGTCTGGCACAAAGCAAAGTGTGTTACCTGCAAGGACAGCACAGAGGAGAACCATCAACATCAGAGCAAATGGAACATTTTGGGGATTTTATCTTTTTCATTTTGTTCAGTCCCACCACAATGCTAGCAGCCGTTGTTTTCCTGCTTGTACTTTATCTTGTTTCTATCATTTTCATCTCTAAGGAAAAAGGAAATGAACCCCCAGGACCGAGACCTCTGCCCCTGCTTGGTAACCTGTTGCAATTAGATCTTAACAGACCCCACAAAACTCTGTGTGAGGTAAGGTAACTCTTCTCAAGATCTGAATCAAAAGAAGCCAGTTTAAACATATTACAATACCTAATGCTATGTTATGGCCCTAGCAGGGTCTCCTGTGAAATGTTAGGGGAACGTAACATGCTATTTAATTATTATTATTTTGAATGATTCTTCCAGCTTTCAAAGGAATATGGCTCTGTATTTACTCTTTACTTTGGAACCAACAAAGTCGTGGTCCTGGCTGGATATGAGACAGTCAGAGAGGCACTGGTCAACTATGCAGAGGAGTTTGGAGAGCGCAACATCTCCCCGATACTTAATGATATAACCCGAGGTCATGGTAAGATTCTTTATATTGTGGTTTATTAAGTTTAATTTCATGTTCATAAATCTGTGTTAGCCCAGGGAAATTGCAGGTTTTGTTATTTGTGATCACTAGAGATATAAGAAAACATGATCGAAACAGGCTACACAATTAACAGCATGTTTCCTCATGTTTTGCAACAGCTGACCAATATCTTGAAGTCCAGGTTTCTTTTCAATCAGAAAAATAATATTTCAAAATAATATTTTAAAGGTTTAGTGGTGCATATTCCTTTGTTCTCGATGTCTGCCATGAGAGTAAGTTCTGCTGTTTGTGACAACATTGTGTTGTACTTTGAGTTCAGTTGATAGTTGGCTTTATAATAACATTTCACCAATGACACAGATGGAAACGTCAGATCAAAAGTGATAAAATGACTCTGAAATAAAAAATTAAAGACCCGTAGAATTACGGTTGAAAACCTTAAAAACAGATGATTTTCTTTTTGAAGAAATGCTGATTTTATTTTATTTTTTTGCTCTGATCTTTGCTGTTTTGCTTGGTTAAGATCAGATTGAGCAACAGCCCCCTTCACTCTCACTGACCTGACAGATCGCTCAACAGCAAATCCCTTTATCAATGTTTTACTTTGTGGATTTTACATTTAACACACATTAGCATGTTATATTACCAGCTAAAGTCACTTTCCCTTGCTTATCCAACTCAGAATCAGTGGTTGGTTGAGGTGGTTTGATGCTTTATATTTATTTTGTAATTATCTTTTTTTCTTGCTTTGTAAAAGTCGTCACTCTGCTGCCTTCAGACTTATCCATGTTTGAAATAATCAGCACATGATTGGGAAATCCTGGACTGACATATCGAGTTGATAACGACAGCAGTCATCTGACCTCTTACCCGATTGGTGATGTGAAAGAGAATTAACACAGGAAAAAACAAACAAACTTTGAAATGATAAATATGATAAAGTAGGACCTCAGCTGTGGAGCCCGAGAAGTACACGCTGAAATACAAAATTACATGAAACACATACTGTCAGTTCTTTATTTGAGTTAAGGCATGAATGCAAAATTGAGAACTCTGTCACAGAGACTACTGCTGAAACAGACAAAGGTCTGCGCTACAAGCCTGATTGTTCATTTGTGCCTCTGCTGAACTGATGAATGTCAGGCTCTTGCTGCTAGGCTGGAGCAGACATGCATTATACCTTATGTTTTGTAGGAATTTTGTTTGCAAATGGAGAATCGTGGAAAGAGCTGAGACGTTTTGCCCTCACCACCCTCAAAGACTTTGGGATGGGCAAAAGACTTTCTCAGGATAAAATCCTGGAGGAGTGTGGTTATCTGATTCAAGTGATTGAAGAGCATAAAGGTATGGCGATAGTGTGTGTACATGTAAGTGATGACATTGTGTGCTGAAGCAGTTTTGAACCCTGAACTTCAACTTAAAGGATTTTTAAAAATTTTTTTAGCACACCTCTAAATTTTGTGCATTTCTGTTAGCCCGTGTACGAATTTATTTATTTTAGATTTTTCCCCCCCCTTGTGTGTCAATTTACAGGAAATGCTTTTGATACAGCTCTTCCAATAACTTACGCAACAGCCAACATTATCTCCTCTATTGTGTACGGAAGCAGATTTGACTACGGTGACCCTGTATTCAAGAACATGGTGAAGCGAGCCAATCAAACCATATGTGTCTCAGGTTCTGCATCAGTCCAGGTTGGCTTTTTGACTTGACGCTGTTTTTAAAATAAATTACACATAAGATTTAGATCCACTAATATTACCACTGTGCAAAGGATCGAGGTATAAATTGATACTGTTACAGCTTTAACAGCAATCAGCATCCGTTTTCATGCTGATTCAGATTTGATGATGTTACCGGCACCAGACCTAGGGGAATCTGGACCGGCAGCAAGCGGCACACAGGCTAGAGAGCACTGTGTAGCCAAATATGAGCAAACTGTGGATTAATAGAGAGGACATCGAAGTTAGCGTCTTGCTCAGGCTGGAGCTCATTTATTTCTCCACATATACACAATACAAATCACACTAGACCATGCATTCTTCCCATAAAATAACAGAGTTCATAAACAAAAATAAAGTTACAAAAAGCATTCTCTCAAAAGCAAAATAAATACAAACTAATTCAAAATGACTCTACATACTCACACTTAAACAAAACACTCACGGCCAAAGCATAACAACATACCAAAATAACCCATCTCACATTCACACAACCTTTCCCCACATTCGCGCCATATACGCTATTACTTTTGAACATGGCGTCTCCTGAACGCAACCAACATGGCGGCAGACGACTGCAAACATTGTTTCACCAACAAAAAGCTTTCCCCTTAATACATGTACTCAGTACTGCTTGGCTAACACTAAAACAAACACTACAACACATTTTCGGAAGTCGCAGGTTGCCACTGTCATAGCATATACTTATAGTGCTACGTAGCATTAAAGCATTATGCCGATGATACACTAATACTCATTACAACAAAATACCACAAAACAACATCATCACTCTCATCTCAAAATATAGCCGAACAGTTGTTACTCAACTTACATGACATTTAGAACCAGTTCGGTAACATAAAAGTTTGTTTGTCAGTACCTGTGGATTAATAGAGAGGACACCGAAGTTAGCGTCTTGCTCAGGCTGGAGCTCATTTATTTCTGAGCTGCGCATACGCAGAGCCTATAGCTAGTCTCTCTGGTAGTTCCACAGCAGTGCAAGAGCACCATCTACTGGCATAATGAAATATAACCAATATAACAACACATAACAATGTCAAAATAAGTCACAATAATAAACAAAAAATAAGGGGGTATTTGGTTTTCTTACAAAAATAAACATGTAGCTTTTTCAACCTGCTACACTCTCCCCTGCTTTAAGAGATGGCTCCGGACATCTGGAACCAAACTAACACACTTCATGGCGTTTGCCCAAAGTCTTTAAAGTCTAATAGTCAAAACTATTAGTTCCAGGAGTAATGTCAAAAGGTCTTTTGGTCACCAGTCTAACATGTCCATACTGGTGTGAGGTAATAACAGTCAGGAACAGCTGGGTAAAGTGACATGTGGCAGGGAACATATGCAAGCATCATGTTTGCTCCAGGTCTCCAGAGCTTACATGAAAGCTGTCCAATTTGGCTATATGTGAAAACCTCTTTAGGTTACACAGCTCTGGTCAATCTCCGTGTTGGTGGCATATCCCCTTCTGGTGTCTCTGGGGCAGGGTCCCTGTTATCCACACAGCTCTCCGACCCTGTGTCCTCCATAAGATCCTCAGTTGCAGGTTCCTCCTGGGTTTTCACAGTTGGTGATGAAACAACAGGCATTGGGAAATCTGCTGGTTTTGGAGATACAGCTGGTGGGATTGCACTTTCCTGCTGCACTTCCACTGATTCCATTTCGTGTCTTATTGGCTGAAACTCAGGAGCTACAGCTCTCAGTTCACTGTGTGGTCTCGGCTGAGGCCTTTTGGGGTTAACTCTCCTCCACTGATACACAGGTATAGTTCTCAGGCTGTATGTGTACCCTTCCTCTTCATCCGAATGATCAGACTCATGTTCCACTGTTTCATTGGGGTTTGTCTCTCCCAGTCTTTGCGTTTGTCTTTTCTGACGTCCCTGCTGATCTTGCTCTACCGGCAAATCAGTCACAAGCAGCAGGAGGTTTCGATGCAGGACACGAAAGGTTTTGTCTCCTGTTTCTGATTGTACCCTATATACAGGTCCATCTCCAATCTTCTCAACAACTCTGTGAATTTTCTTTTCCCAGTAGGCACGGAGTTTGCCTGGACCACCCCGCTCGGAGAGGTTTCTGACAAGCACTTGATCTCCTGGTTGCAGTGCGATGCCTTTGATGTGCTGATCATAATGCTTTTTCCCCTTTGCAGAGGACTTTGCACTGTTTTCTGAAGCAATTTTATAGGCTTCCTGCATGCGTGCAGCCCACTTTTGTGCATACTCCTGTCTGGACTGTGACTCTTTTTCAGGTTTTAAATCAAAAAGCAGATCAACAGGCAAGCGTGGGGCTCTTCCATAAAGGAGGAAGAAAGGTGAATAGCCTGTTGCCTCATGTCTTGTGCAGTTATATGCATGGACTATATGGGGCAAATGATCCTTCCATTCTGCCCTTTTCTCCTCATGAAGAGTCCGTAGCATTTGTAGAAGTGTTCTATTTAGACGCTCAACAGGATTTCCCTGTGGGTGGTAGGGGGTTGTTCGAGAGTGGCCTATTCCTGCCAGCTGTTTGAGTCTTTGGAAAAGGTTGTTCTCAAACTCCCGGCCTTGGTCATGATGCCGCTTTTCAGGGTACCCGAAACGCGGGATAAAGTCAAGAAAGATTTTCTCAGCTGCTGTTTTGCCAGATTTATTCTTAGTCGGGTAAGCTTGGGCAAAACGGGTAAAGTGATCTACCAAGACTAAAATGTACTCAAAGCCACCTTTACTTGGTTCTAGATGTAAATAGTCAACCGAAATGAGTTCAAAGGGGGCACTGGTTGTTATCGAGCCCATTGGTGCTCTCTCTGGGACACTTGGCCGTTTCTGTTTGATACAAGGGCACTGGCGAATGACATAGTCCTCAATTTCACGCTGCATAAAAGGCCAGTAAAACCTCTCCCTTGCTAACTGAATGACTTTGTCAGCACCAACATGTCCCATATCATCATGCAGGTGTTTCCGTACAGTTTGCTTAAGCTTACTGGGTAGAATCAGCTGTTTTCTTTGTCCAGTCTGTCTGTACAGTATTCCTTCCTCAAGTACAAGTCTGTTCCATTCATGTACTAGCCTATGTGTCTCTTGTCCTAGCTGTCTCTTATCTTTACTATTAGGACTCCATCTACTCTTTTTCAAATTTATCACCTCACAGATAGGGGGGTCCTCCCTCTGCGCAGCCCTGATGTTTTCTGGGGTGATGACAGGGGCACCTTCAGGGGGTGTGTCGTCAACACAGTGCAGTGCAGCCACCCATGGTACATCACCGTCTCTCATGGCTTTGTCTCCTTGCCAGATTGCAGAAACCACTTCTGGGGACAGTGTCTCAGTATACTCCATGAGGTGTTCCTGGAGTGGCAATGGATAGCGGGAGAGCGTGTCAGTGTCTGCGTTGGACTTGCCTGGTCTATACTTTACAGTGAAATGGAAGTCATCTAATTCGCCCACCCACCGATGTCCCACAGCGTTTAACTTTGCTGTGCTCAAGATGTATGTGAGGGGATTATTATCTGTGTACACTGTGAAAGTGGGTGCATAGTAGAGGTAATCCCTAAATTTATCACAAATTGCCCACTTCAGGGCAAGGAATTCAAGCTTGCCAGAATGGAGATGGTAATTTTTCTCAGCAGGTGTGAGTGTCCTGGAACCATAAGCAATGACACAGAGCTTTTCCCCCTGTTGCTGATAAAGCACAGCCCCCAGGCCTTCATTTGATGCATCTGTGTGTAGAACGAAGGGCAAACTGAAATCTGGGTAAGCCAGGACAGGTGGACGGGTTAACATATCCACCAGACGTGACACCACAGTACGATGTTCTGCTGTCCATTGCACTGGTGTTTTGGAAGGAAGCTGACCACCATTTGTGCGCTTTAACTTGATTTTGGCTCTAGTTGAGCTACATTGCAGGCTAGGATCACTGGGACTCTCAATAAGCTTAAACAGTGGCCTCGCTATTCTAGAAAAGTCCTGAATGAACGTCCTGTAATACCCTAGAAACCCTAGAGTGCTCTGACCTCTCCCATGTTCTTTGGCTCTCTGTCTCTCAAATGTTCCACTGCTTCGAGATCTTTTGGGTCTATCTGGACACCTTCAGTGGTCACCAAGCGCCCAACATACCTGACCTGACGCTTAAACAGTTCACATTTTTTGGGACGTAGCTTCACACCATGCTCTCGCAGGCGGCAAAGCACATGCATCAGATCATCAACATGGTCATGAAAAGTCTTGGAAAAGCAAAGCACATCATCTAAATATGGTGAGCAGCACTCATCCCTCAGACCATCAAGGACCCCCTCCATGCATCTCTGAAATGCTGCTGGGGCGTTGGTAAGGCCAAATGGGAGGCGGATCCACTCGTACAACCCCCAAGGCGTGCTGAATGCTGTCAGGTGTCTTGATCTTTCATCAACAAAGCCCTGGTGGTACGCACTACCCTGGTCGAGTATTGAAAACCATGAATAGCCCCCCAAATTATCCAGCAGGTCTTGGATGCGTGGTAGTGGGTGGCGGTCAGCAATGGTTTTACGGTTAAGGCCCCGAAAGTCAATACACAAGCGTAAGCTTTTGTCTTTCTTTCGGACACACACCACCGGAGATGAGTAGGGTGATGTGGACTTTCTGATCCAGCCGTTGTCCAGCAAATTCTGAACATATTCTTTTACCTCTTTATACAAAGGTTTGGGGACCGAATTGTAGGATGTCTGGACAGGCGTATCGTCTTTCAGATTAATTTTCAACTGCAAGCTTGGGATGCAACCAATGTCAGAGTCACTTTGGGCAAAAACATCTGACTGTTCATACAACATGTCTCTAACTACCCTCTGTCAGGTAGGACAAATCAACAGGTGGATGCCATCTCTGACCTTCATTGACTTCTGTCTGATGCTTTTCGTTACCTAGCTGAACTGAACACACTTTTACATTTGTATGGGCTGATGACCCTGCGTCAGCAGAGAGATACTTGACAGGTTTTACTTCAGTCACCTCTTCCAATGTACCTAAGACTGTTCTTTTGGAGAGAAAAATGTCATGTTTGGTAGGATTCTGAATGGGAATCTTAACAATTTTTGTCAACCCACTGGGGACATCTACCAAAGCTGGGAACAACTCCAAACCCTCAGGGCAGCTGTTCTCTAGATTTGGTTGGAAGAGTCGTGGGCCACCTCTTGGCCATTCTCTGACTCTACACTTTACTTCACAAATCTGTCCTGCAGGAATCATTACACCTTTTTTTCCTGTTCTCACACTACACTCAGGATCTATTTCATCAGGGGTGGGCATCTGAAGTGCTGAAACTAGAGCATCTACTGCACTGCTGCTGACACTTAAAGCTTCTTTGAGGAGCGCAGACAGGTCAGCCCCACCTCTCTGTTCTTTATTGGTTTTTAGGATTTCAGCTATTACGTTGCTGCCTAAAATAAGACAGTTAAGGTTGTGCTGACTGATAAGCACTGGCACTTGTATGGCGACATGCCCATAGTTCACACTCTGAATTTGAAGTTCCGTGTCTGCCCAACCATCAAATGGAACGTCTGTACCATTAGCTGCCGCTATTTCCAGAGGCTGGTCTGAAAGGAGGGACTCAAGTGGCTTGATCTTAATGTGGGGGATGTTTTTCTCTATCCATGCTCTTGATACCATAGTCACTTGGGCCCCTGAATCAAGCAGCATCTTAAGTGGTACTCCATTGATGGCACATGAGACCATACATCTGTTCCCAATAAGCTGTGCAGTGGGTTTCGCTGGTGGTGCAGGACTGGGTACATTTGATCTCACCACACTTGAAGTCTTAGCAAAACTGGTGTGTGCTGGGGACTCCTCGGCTTGTTCGGTCACTGGCAGCCCCTCTCCAGTGACCTCACCCCGTTTCCCGACACCTTACGCCGCAGGCAGCCAATAGCCCGGTGTCCTGGCTGGCCACACGCAAAGCAGTGGGGGGCAGCTCACTTTGCCTTGCTGTACACAATCACCACATCTGCCCCGGTTCTCAGCTGGAGGTGTTGGAGGGTGGTTCAGGGGCGAGCAGGAGTCTCCAGATGCCACACTATCAGTCTGGCTCACCACTTTAGTTAGCTGTCTAGTCAATGAAGACACTTGGGCAGTCAGTTCTCTAATAGCTGCACGGTTAGCCTTTAGCTCAGTGTTAACCTTCGCTTGCTCAGTCAAGTCCGTGTTAGCAAGCTGAGCGGCACTTACAGTCACAGGTCTGATTTTAGATGCTGTACCCAGTCGCCTCAGTCTCTCAGCTTCCTCGCTGATGGACTTTGTAATCTGTTCAAGCAAAAAGTCGTCACTAACCTGCAAGTCATTAAGAAAAAGGTTTGAGGTCTTGTCTCACATAGTTGTTTTTTTCATTGAACCCTTGATAAAGTGTGTGAAGAAATGTGCCCTGCACAAGCTTTTTGTCATAGCTAAAGTCTGCACCAGGCTGTCGTGACTCAAATAGTACACGCTGTTTTAACCCTATAATTCTGTACAAAAACTGCTGTGCACTCTCTTTGTCTTGCTGCTTAGCATTACTTAGCTCTTGAAAGAGTTCAGCGCTATTCTTGTCTCGAATATGAGAGCGGAGAAGTTTCTTCAAACCATCAACTGTCAAATCATCTTTGTTGGTTAACATTTCCTTGAGAGTACCAGGCTTCATTATCTTTAGCAAGGTTCTGATTATTTCACACTCAGTAAACCCTTCTTGTAACCCCTCATCAATTTGTTTGCACAGACTACTGTAGGACATATCCGAGCCAAGATCTGAAATTTGTCCACCATGCAACTTGAATTCTCTGCGTGGAAACAAAGCTGCCACATCACTGAGACTCAAAACTTGGTCATATCCTCTGGACGGACGACTCACCCTGCCAGGGGAAACCCCAGCAACACTAGGCGCCGGTGACACTGAAGCTGGGATGTTGAAGTTCTTGGTGGGCGTATCAGTGTCTCTTAGCATGGATGAGGGAAAGGTGGAGATGTCTCTGTCCTGCGGTAGAATGGGCTGTGTGTGAGAGTCTGTGTTAGGGGATGTGGTCAGCTGGCATAGCCAGGTGTCTGTCAGGATGTGTGGGGTCAAGTAGGGCACTCCTGCTGCTGGTTAGGAATATCTTCCATCTCAAGCGGCACGGCCAGATGATCTCCAGCCCCTCCGACGTCCGTTGACAGCAGGTCACTCTCGATGTCGTCGAGGAGCAAGAGCTGGGCCATACCTTCATCCTCCAACGCTCTTAACTTTTCACCTCTGATGTACTCAACGATCAGGTCATATAGTTCTGGTTCACTTAAGCCATAGGTGTCAAACTCTGGCCCGCAGCCTAATTACATTTGGCCCGCGAAGCCATACCAAATTATTATTAGAGCTGGCCTACTGGTATTATACAGCTAATATATATATTGTTTAGTATTAAGCTTTGCTCGTTCCATATTCAGTTTTTCAGCAAAACTTGTTTGAGTCCATAAGAAGAGATTCATTCTTAAATCTGGAGGAAGATTTTTTTTCAATAAATATTAATGTTAGCCCGCGACCTTGTTCCAGTTTTGAATTTTGGCCCACTGTGTATTTGAGTTTGACACCCCTGACTTAAGCCATCAAGATTGCGAGTCATACTGCCATCCTCCACTGAAGAAACAACAGTGCGCAGCTGGCTCACACTCAAATCACAAAGTCTTTTCTGGATCTTTACTATCAACAACCGCCGTGGGGTAACAGTGGCCATCTTGACGTTTTGACTGTGACCTGGGCTCCCTGGATGACGCACTCAATGCAGCCTTCCCTGAGACTTTGGACACCAGTTCTGGTCGTTTGGCACACACGTCACCACTAGACGATCCCGTTTTCTTACAAAAATAAACATGTAGCTTTTTCAACCTGCTACAATGACAATCACATACATTCATATATGGAAGTAGAACATCCTGTGAAACTATAAAATCTTATAAAAGCAGCTTAAATTAGCAACAACAAACAGGCCTCATGACCTGATTTCTACTACACGTATAAGGCTGCCAGGCACCAGCCGCTCCCACCCGACGACGGGCACCGGAACAGTCAGGACCTCCTCCACTTCCACGGCTTCGGGGAACGCCAGTTGGGGTGGCGGCCGGGACCAGATCCGAGCTGCCAGGTTCTCAATCCATCATACGCTCGATTCGATTCTGCAGTTCTTCCTGCTGCTCCCGCTGTTTGGCCATGTGTTTTGCAAATGTGGCTCTGTGGTGCATTGGAAATCTGACTGTTTGCTTTTTCACAATCTTTTTTCTTCTTATTTTATAAATTTGTTTGTTGCTCATTGAGCCAAAGAGAGTAATTCTTAATCATGAGATACAATAAAATGTATACAGTGGGGCAAAAAAGTATTTAGTCAGCCACCGATTGTGCAAGTTCCCCCACCTAAAATGATGACAGAGGTCAGTAATTTGCACCAGAGGTACACTTCAACTGTGAGAGACAGAATGTGAAAAAAAAATCCATGAATCCACATGGTACGATTTGTAAAGAATTTATTCGTAAATCAGGGTGGAAAATAAGTATTTGGTCAATAACAAAAATACAACTCAATACTTTGTAACATAACGTTTGTTGGCAATAACAGAGGTCAAACGTTTACTATAGGTCTTTACCAGGTTTGCACACACAGTAGCTGGTATTTTGGCCCATTCCTCCATGCAGATCTTCTCGAGAGCAGTGATGTTTTGGGGCTGTCGCCGAGCAACACGGACTTTCAACTCCCGCCACAGATTTTCTATGGGGTTGAGGTCTGGAGACTGGCTAGGCCACTCCAGGACTTTCAAATGCTTCTTACGGAGCCACTCCTTTGTTGCCCGGGCGGTGTGTTTTGGATCATTGTCATGTTGGAAGACCCAGCCTCGTTTCATCTTCAAAGTTCTCACTGATGGAAGGAGGTTTTGGCTCAAAATCTCACGATACATGGCCCCATTCATTCTGTCCTTAACACGGATCAGTCGTCCTGTCCCCTCGGCAGAAAAACAGCCCCATAGCATGATGTTTCCACCCTCATGCTTCACAGTAGGTATGGTGTTCTTGGGATGCAACTCAGTATTCTTCTTCCTCCAAACATGACGAGTTGAGTTAATACCAAAAGGTTCTACTTTGGTTTCATCTGACCACATGACATTCTCCCAATCCTCTGCTGTATCATCCATGTGCTCTCTGGCAAACTTCAGACGGGCCTGGACATGCACTGGCTTCAGCAGCGGAACACGTCTGGCACTGCGGGATTTGATTCCCTGCCGTTGTAGTGTGTTACTGATGGTGACCTTTGTTACTTTGGTCCCAGCTCTCTGCAGGTCATTCACCAGGTCCCCCCGTGTGGTTCTGGGATCTTTGCTCACCGTTCTCATGATCATTTTGACCCCACGGGATGAGATCTTGCGTGGAGCCCCAGATCGAGGGAGATTATCAGTGGTCTTGTATGTCTTCCATTTTCTGATGATTGCTCCCACAGTTGATTTTTTCACACCAAGCTGCTTGCCTATTGTAGATTCACTCTTCCCAGTCTGGTGCAGGTCTACAATACTTTTCCTGGTGTCCTTCGAAAGCTCTTTGGTCTTGGCCATGGCGGAGTTTGGAGTCTGACTGTTTGAGGCTGTGGACAGGTGTCTTTTATACAGATGATGAGTTCAAACTGGTGCCATTCATACAGGTAACGAGTGGGGGACAGAAAAGCTTCTTACAGAAGACGTTACAGGTCTGTGAGAGCCAGAGATCTTCCATGTTTGAGGTGACCAAATACTTATTTTCCACCCTGATTTACGAATAAATTCTTTACAAATCCTACCATGTGAATTCATGGATTTTTTTTTCACATTCTGTCTCTCACAGTTGAAGTGTACCTCTGGTGCAAATTACTGACCTCTGTCATCATTTTAAGTGGGGGAACTTGCACAATCGGTGGCTGACTGTCACGGCGGGGTGCGCCGATGTGTGTGGAAACAGGACCCAAAAGCAGATGATGACGAGGAATTGTAATGATTAACAGAAAGGTGAACCTTTAATGCGATGACGGCAGGGAAATGAACCAAGAGACCAAAAACAAACAGGCAAAACACTAAGAAAACAAAATACTAAATGGTACTGAGACCAAAACCTAAACTATGACTGTGGTGGAAAAATAATAAACAAAGACCATGACTAAGACTAATAATACATAACAGATGAAAACTAGAACTATGACTGAGGTGAGGTAAACAGGCTAAGACCATGACTAAAACTGTGACCCTGGTGAGATAAACAGACGAACCGACAATGGCATGAAGAAAACAAAAAGCTTAAATACAGACATGAGGTGATCAGGGGAAGTGGGGACACATGGGGGAACAGCTGACAGACATAAACCTAATGACAGGACCAGGAGAGAAAGCTAAATACAATGAACAAAGAACACATGACATTGTCAAAATAAAACAGGAAATACTAACAACTAAACATAACAACACAACAGACCCAACACGTGATGAATAAATACCAAACCCCAAAACATAGAAAACCCAGGAACAATAACCAATAACTGCCTAAACTAAAGGCAAAATAGGAAATAACACAAACTAATAACATATCAAAAAATACAAAGAAAACTCAGAGTGCTGGGTCGGAGACCCAGCCTGTGACACTGACTAAATACTTTTTTGCCCCACTGTATATGACACAATATGCACTCACAGTCATTAAGAGAATACATGGTAACGCTACCTGAAAATATTAGATATCTTTAGATGCACAGCAACAGTAACTTTGTTAATTGTGATTTCAATGATTTCTGTGAGAGAAATTCTGAAATAAGTTAAGTCATTGGTGCTTTCACAAAAATGAAAACCAGGATTTAGTGAAAAATTGTGTAATAATACTATATTGACATTTTTAAGTATGTAAACTGTGTCATATGACAAAGTAAAGTGTATTTCATTTTATTTCTGATAATTACGTGTATTTACTTGGAATAAGCTTTGTTTTACTGTTTTTTCCACAGCTTTTTAACATGTTTCCTTGGCTGTTCGGTTGGATAAAAAATCGCCAGGTGGTGTTAAAAAATGTTGAGATGGCTGTCACAGATATAAAGAATTTAATTAATCATCTGAAAGAGACTCTGGAGCCCGGACTGTGCCGAGGGCTTGTGGACTGTTTTCTGATTGTGAAACAGAAAGAAGAAGTAAGACAATATGTGTTTTTTAAAATTATGATAATATTATTTACACTTTAGGTTTGATAGCAATAAGCAATGTGAGTGTTACTTCTTTTAGGACTCCTGTGTTTTGGATACTCACTACAATGAGGAGAACTTGACATTCACAGTGAGCAACCTGTTTGCTGCTGGCACTGACACCACAGCAGCCACACTGAGATGGGGTTTGCTGTTAATGGCTAAATACCCACACATACAGGGTAAGGAACTGGACAAGACATGCAAGTCTCATTATGTATGGTAATAACACATAAATAGAGTTCAGTGTCCTGTTGGGGTACAAGACCAAGGACTTCAGTTATGGGTTTACTGACATGTCAGCATGTGATATCAGAGAGATAAGGCAAAAAATTAGGAGTTTTGTCTTTGTTACTACCAGTCAGTGGTAAATAAATACACATGTCAGATGCAAACAATGTGCACCATAACAATATTCTGTGTATATTTTGGATTTAAATTTTTTTTTTTTTACACATTTTAGCAGATCTGTTAAAACTAATGTGGACAAATGCGTTTCTTTATTTTGTCTCTGCAGAGCAGGTCCACGAGGAGCTGAGCCGGGTAGTAGGAAGCCGACAAGTTTGTGTAGATGACCGGAAAAACCTGCCGTACACTGATGCAGTCATTCACGAGACTCAGAGACTGGCGAATATTGCTCCCATTTCTCTTCCTCACCAAACTAGCCAAGATGTCACCTTCAAGGGATACTTTATCAAAAAGGTCAGCTGCTGTACCTAAATATATTTTAACATCTTGATTCACTTCTGATAACCTGAACTAGTTCTGTAGATGTACATCTACATGAGAAATCTTCTTGGTTTCCCACAGGGAACTATTGTGTTTCCCCTTCTCACCTCTGTCCTGTATGATGAGAGTGAATGGGAGAGCCCACACACTTTTAACCCTTCACATTTTCTGGACAAAAAGGGTCAATTTGTCAGGAGAGATGCCTTCATGCCCTTTTCTGCAGGTATGACAACTTTGATAAAATGTACACTTCCACAGACGTGATTGGATTTAAATGAGTGTAAACTGCTCTTGCAGGTCGCAGGATGTGTCTCGGAGAAGGTCTGGCTAAGATGGAGCTCTTCCTCTTCTTCACCTCCCTCATTCAGCGCTTTCGTTTCACTCCTCCACCTGGAATCACAGAGGATGAACTGGATCTCACACCAGCTGTGGGATTCACCACCCCTCCTTCATCTCATATGCTGTGTGCTGTCAGTCGCCAGTGAGAGACACATGGAACTTGACATTATAGCATTTACTTGTGACAATAGCATAAGCAATAGCATCAAACAGATGTCAGCATTCTGAACAACAGGCAAAGGCAGATGTCAAGGGAACAGATTTTTCTGACTACTTTTTAGTTTTACTCCCTACAGTTTCAAGCAAATATCTGTACTTTCTACTTATTACGTTTTCAAAACAGGCTCATTACTTTGGCTATAATGCATTTGGGGGGAATCATTATCTCGTTATTATCTTGTCACTGTGGACCTCCCAGCCCATTGTTCCTTCACTGGGCTGGTTTCAGTCATTATGCAAATGTACTGTTAATTAGATTGGAGAAACCTGCAGTCAGCTGACACTGAAGAAGTCACTTGGATGAGAGACGAAATGTTTCTCCCACTGAAAACGCTACTTTCAGATAAACAGAATCAACTTTTGGAGACTGCAGATCTTTGTTTGTTTATTAATCACCAGTGGATAAAAAAAGATGACATGTGTCAAAGTCAGGGATTAAAAGTGATTGTTTTTAAGTGTCAGTTAATTTCCAGTGCAGCTTTCCTCTCAGCTCAACAAAGATCAGCAAACACACAAAGTGTTTGTGTGCAGTTTGTCTCAAAGTGTGTTGCTAGCTAAAAGGTCCAGCTGCTGTATTTCCTTGCTGTAGGTTAGTGCAGGATAAACAGGTTAGTTTGTTGTACTGTGAAAAGTGAAGAACACACTGCTCTTTAAGAATAAACAGTGTGGTTTATTTACAAAGTGGTAAAAACAGTGAACAGCTGATCCAGGTACAATGAAAGTTGAGTGGGTGATTTTCTCCTCTTCTTTTCGTCCGTGCCCGAGTAGAGAATAAACACCCCGTGTCCTCCAATAACCCTCGTCCCAGGTGGTGATTAACCCTCGAAATTCCGAGAACACAACATCACGGGCAGGCCGACCGATGCCAGTCACTTCTAACAAGTAAAATCAAAGTATAATTGACAGAATGAGTGGAGTCATTCAAATTTTTGATTACCAACCAGAACTTTGTTTGAATGATTAACAGATCATATCAGTATTTTTGTTTTTCACTGTTATTTTTTAGAGAGTAATTTGTTAGAGGTTTATTCTTTCAATTGCAGGAGAATTGTGAAAAATATTGTTTTCTGCAGATACATTTGGAATTGTGCATTTTCAATAACGGATCTAAAATGGCAATAAACGAAAGTCTTTAGCTTTTCAGTTTGCTTTTTGCACGCAGTGAAACACATCATGAACATAAAGAAGACACACTTTTACCAAAACAGTGAAGATACTACAAATGGCATGTAAAAATACAGCATGTTGGATCAGGTTTAGATAGGTATTCTTACATTGTACTCTAATTTATTCAATATTTAAATCTGCTTAGCCAGCTATTTTAGTGCAACAAACCTTTGGAGGAAACTAAGCTCTATAATGAACACTCACAGTCCAAGCCATTAACAGTCAGATTTATGGTTGACCAGACTTTAGTTAGAATTTGTTTTGTTTTGTTTTTTAGACAGTAATTTTTTAAAGGCTTTACCTTTTCCATTGGTGCAACCTTTTAATTTCTTTTTTTAAATTTACCTATGCTGTGTCTATGTTTAGTAGTTAATACCCAGGTAACATCCTTGACCACATTAGTTGTTCTTCCTGTTAAAAGCGGGTTTTTCCTTCCTACTGTTGCCAAAGCACTTGCTCAGGGAGTCATATGATGGTTGTAATACAATTAATTGAAAATTCATAACAGCACTTATCACAGCCTATAAACTATAACTAAGAACTATAACTCCTTCCCATTTGCACCGAAACACACCCACAAAGAAAATAAGTTTCTTTTTCTGTACTAAAGTGCAATGGTGAAAGTGAGGTTAAAGTAAGTAAGGCGTCGTCAAAGGAGCTTGCAAAGAAAAGCGTCTGGACTTCTTTAAGTTACTTGAAGACGTTTCACCTCTCATCCGAGAAGCTTCTTCAGTTCTAAGGTCAAATGGTGGAGAGTCCCAGATATAAACCTAGTGGGAGTAACCCCCCACAGAGGGACAAAAGGACCCCCTGATGATCCTCTAATCGCCTGAGCCAAGGTGTGAAACTGGGTGTGGGTCCCAATCAGCCAGAGTTTCGGGTGTGTTCATTGTGAAACCTGGCCCCACCTTATCATGCGAATTCCTGGGATCAGATGGCCCAGGATGTGAGTGGGCGTTAAGGCGTCTGGGAAGGGATCTCAAAACTGGATTATAGATGGCAGAGAGTTGGTGTCGTAAACCCCCGCCTCTGTTCAAAGATGGTCGCTCACAGTGGACATAGATGGCTTCTTTCACTCCTCTTTCAAACCATCTGTCCTCTCTGTCCAAAATGTGAACATTGGCATCCTCGAAAGAGTGTCCTTTGTCCTTTAGATGCAGATGGACTGCTGAGTCTTGTCCTGTGGAGGTGGCTCTTCTGTGTTGTGCCATGCACTTGTGAAGTGGCTGTTTGGTCTCTCCAATGTAGAGGTCTGGGCATTCCTCGCTGCACTGTACAGCATACACCACATTGTTAAGTCTGTTCAGACGTAAGTTCAGACTCTCCACCATTTGACCTTAGAACTGAAGAAGCTTCTCGGATGAGAGGTGAAACGTCTTCAAGTAACTTAAAGAAGTCCAGACGCTTTTCTTTGCAAGCTCCTTTGACTACGATGACCTGGATGACTGAGAACCTTCACAGACATAAGTAAGGTGTCGTGAAGAAATTGTGATCCCATTCTTGGAAGCACAAAGAAGAGGGGGAAGCACCGAATATGGATGATTTTGGAGAAGATTAGTCTTTCCTTCTAAAAGTTGCAGGGGATACATATTCTTTCAGACTTTGTGTCTCGGTATGCCTTAAAATGGGCCCCTTTCTATAAGGCAAGTCTTTTGTTTAGCAAATTCTTAAGAATCCACCAAATAACCCAGGTGATTTTGGAGAGGATAAAAGTTTCCTCAAGTGAAATACTTGATGGCTTGGAACATGAATCTTTGTTCTATTAGGATCTCTTTTTCTTTTTGATAGTTTCCACTGTAGCTTGGGGAAGTCTGCACTAAGTGCGCACATGTTTATTGACATCGATCAGAGTGTCTGATAGTGTTCCTTACAGTGGCTGGGAAGTGCAAATCACAAGTCCGCAACAAATTAACAAGTGGCTCTTGACGGAAAGGGATTGTCTGAAATACTGGAAGGGACTCAACGGTAGGGCTTTGGAGTTGACATAATGCCGCAATGTATTGTGGGAGCGCGGCGCCATATATCTGGGTCACGAATCAAAGCAAACACACTGTGCTGGAAGGACGGTTGCTAGAAACATGCTTAAAAGCAGTTTAAAAGAAAAGGGACGGTACAGAGACAGGTTGCGTCCGGATGCAAAGAGACGGTACTTGCAGAAAATAGCGTACATTGGAAATGTGGAACCGTATGAAATACGGCCGTGGAGTAGAAACCCTGACGACCTACCGCTATTGACGTAGCCTGATATATTTTCGTACCTTGTCTGTGGAGTCAGCGTGTACAAGGTGAACCGGTTTCGCAATTATAAATCTCTGGAGGGACACATTCAAATTAGTGCAGCATAAATTCATTCATGAGGGGGAAATTACAGTGAGAACATGTGGAGGCTGTTAGAGGGATAACATAGTGAGTTCAGTGCATTGATGTGATATTGTCCTGATGGATTTAGTTATTCTTTATGGTTAAAGAAATTGCAATGATTTATTAGTGCAATGATTATTATAAATAATCATAATTATAGATCTTGCTTCCATGTTTGTGTCCTGTGTCACTAAAAGTACATTTTATTGTAGTTTTATACATTGATTAATGACCTGCAAAATCTCCTTATCATATTAAGTGTCCATAACTGTCACTTAAAGTCAAACTTTATGCTTTCTCCATCTTGAAAGTGATTACATCCTTGCATTACATACTTTAGGTTCATTTTCTGCAGGCAGGTTTCTGAAAGAGAACAGGCAGATTTAGAATATAACATGCAGCGTTCTATAGATGGATGCATAAAAAAGAAGAAAAGTTACATGTATGTGCTAACTTTCTAAACACTTTGTTACATTTATGATAAATGGATTAGAAAGTAGATAAAACACATTTATGTCAGCCTTGGCTCATTAAAGTCCTTGTCTTTAAATTAACTTTGTATGTATGAAGCCCCAGGACCGAGACCTCTGCCCCTGCTTGGTAACCTGTTGCAATTAGATCCCAAGAGACCCCACAAAACTCTGTGTGAGGTAAAATAACTCTTCTCAAGATCTGAATCAAAAGAAGCCAGTTTAAACATATTACAATACCTAATGCTATGTTATGGCCCTAGCAGGGTCTCCTGTGAAATGTTAGGGGAACGTAACATGCTATTTAATTATTATTATTTTGAATGATTCTTCCAGCTTTCAAAGGAATATGGCTCTGTATTTACTCTTTACTTTGGAACCAACAAAGTCGTGGTCCTGGCTGGATATGAGACAGTCAGAGAGGCACTGGTCAACTATGCAGAGGAGTTTGGAGAGCGCAACATCTCCCCGATACTTAATGATATAAACCGAGGTCATGGTATGATTCTTTTATATTGTGGTTTATTAAGTTTAATTTCATGTTCATAAATCTGTGTTAGCCCAGGGAAATTGCAGGTTTTGTTATTTGTGATCACTAGAGATATAAGAAAACATGATCGAAACAGGCTACACAATTAACAGCATGTTTCCTCATGTTTTGCAACAGCTGACCAATATCTTGAAGTCCAGGTTTCTTTTCAATCAGAAAAATAATATTTCAAAATAATATTTTAAAGGTTTAGTGGTGCATATTCCTTTGTTCTCGATGTCTGCCATGAGAGTAAGTTCTGCTGTTTGTGACAACATTGTGTTGTACTTTGAGTTCAGTTGATAGTTGGCTTTATAATAACATTTCACCAATGACACAGATGGAAACGTCAGATCAAAAGTGATAAAATGACTCTGAAATAAAAAATTAAAGACCCGTAGAATTACGGTTGAAAACCTTAAAAACAGATGATTTTCTTTTTGAAGAAATGCTGATTTTATTTTATTTTTTTGCTCTGATCTTTGCTGTTTTGCTTGGTTAAGATCAGATTGAGCAACAGCCCCCTTCACTCTCACTGACCTGACAGATCGCTCAACAGCAAATCCCTTTATCAATGTTTTACTTTGTGGATTTTACATTTAACACACATTAGCATGTTATATTACCAGCTAAAGTCACTTTCCCTTGCTTATCCAACTCAGAATCAGTGGTTGGTTGAGGTGGTTTGAAGCGTTATATATTTATTTTGTAATTATCTTTTATGTATATTTTACATTGACGACTCAATGTGGCACAACCTCCTGTTGTAAAATTTTATGTCTTGTAGGGATTTTGTTTGCAAATGGAGAATCATGGAAAGAGCTGAGATATTTTGCCCTCACCACCCTCAAAGACTTCGGCAAAAGACTTTCTCATAAAATCTTGGCAGAGTGTAGCTATCTCATTCAAGTGATCGAAGAGCATAAAGGTATGGAGATAGCATGTATACGCAGTGTTAAAACAAAGACCAATTTAATTTTGCTGAGGTTTGTTTTAATGCTATTAGAATTAATTATTAATGTCTTAATCTTGTCCACATGTTGGGTTACAGGAGAACCATTTGATACAGCACTTCCAATAAATTATGCAACAGCCAATATTATCTTTTCCGTTGTGTACGGATGTAGATTTGATTACAATGAACCGATATTCACAAAAATGGTGAAGCGAGCCAATCATGCCACATGTGTCACAGGTTCTGCATCAGTCCAGGTTTGCTTTTTCATCCCCCCCCTTTTTTTTACTCTCTTTTAAAAAAAAAAGAATGACATAAAATGTTAACAGTGACTATTGTTACCTGTGTGGCATAAACTGAATGGTAAAAATCTGATTTTATGTTGAAGCAGACTCTGTCTGTATATCAGTTTTTTACTGTTTTACTGTTGTCCATTGAGCCAAACAAAAAATATTCACATTTCATGATGGGAAGGCAAAATCTAAAATAGTGATTGAAAGCATAAAGTGGTCACAAAGATATGGAAAATACCAAATGTATACGTAAAACAATGCATAACGATGGTGCTTCTGTAAAAATGAAAGTATTACTTGAATCTTTACTTTGTTACTGTTTAATTTTACAGCTTCATAACATGTTTCCCCGGCTGTTCAGATGGATTAAAAACCATCAGGTGGTGTTAAAAAATGTTGAGACGACCATCAGAGATGTAAAGTATTTAATTACGTACCTGAAAGAGACACTGGACCCTGACATGTGCCAAGGGTTTGTGGACTGTTTTTTGATTTGGAAGCATAAAGAGGAAGTAAGACGGCATGTTTTGTCTTTTCTAACATTTTAAAAAGTGGCTCAGTGTTCAAAACAGTGTTTTAGTTTTGTTATTATACCTTTTCTTTTTCTTTTTTTAGGAATTTGGAATTGACGACTCTCACTACAGTGAGGAGAACTTGATATTCACAGTGATTGACCTGTTTGTTGCTGGTACTGACACCACAGCAGCCACACTGAGATGGGGTTTGCTGTTAATGGCTAAATATCCACACATACAGGGTAAGGAGGCAGAACTCTCCTCCAGAAATTTTATTTCCGTTTTCATAAAGCCCCTCAGCCATTAGAAAACTGAATATTTTCTAAATAGATATCGACAAAGGCAAAAAAATACATTTCATCAAGGTATTTCATGCATGCAGGAGTTTTGGTTTAGCCACAGCTCTTTGTCTTATGGTTTCCATACTACACAGACTTAATGGCAGGATAGTGTTGGTTAAAGTTTAATGTTCAGCTCAGGTAAGTACAACAAGGAACTCAACAACAGGACCAAACACACCACTCAAAAAGTATGGATAATTTTCTAGAACTTCATTTCCTTTCCAGTAGGTGGAGGGTTAGGGTTTCCTAGAGCTAAAACTTAAGCTTCCAACAGTGTGAGAGTGGAACAGGCAGGTGTCCTTAAGAATGAGGTTGGTTGCTAGCCTTTTAGCTTACTTACCTGGAAAACCTAAGTGGCCTGAGCACTGAGAAGTCAACAATCTGGCAATGAGAGAAAAAGGAGCTGGGGTTAGCAGTAAGTATCCACTGATTTCCATTCCTCTGGCAGTATTTCAGTTTCTTCAGTCTTTGTTCTATGCATTTACCTTATAGTATAAACTCTTCAGTTAAGAGGTTGTAAAAAGATAATACATTTCTGATATGAAATCTTTTGTTAAACTTTCAGTAAATGTTTATTGGAGCCTGCTTTGACAAACATACAGCTCTTGAGTCTTTTTCAGCCTTTACAGATCCTGATTTCAAATTTAAATTCTTCTTAGTGGGGGGAAAAAAACCACCCGGTTTTTCTATATTGGGACTATCATAATGTGTTGGGCCGCACTCAAACGCAGAACTTGTGCAAGTTAAGTGATTTCATTTACAGTGACGGTGAATTGTGGTATTTACAAAGTGTTTTAGCCATTCACAGTTCAAGAGTCTCTTATTTACAAAGTCCAACAAGGGAGGTGATTCCAAACTTCCAGCGCTGAAACAAATTCCTCCTCTTCAGCCACACAAAACTCTCTCCCGTACACTCCACTGGGACGTCCTTAACAGAGGAAATATGAGTTAGAAATCTTTGTGAAGAGAAAATGAGAGTTTTTTACAGAGACGATGAGGAGATTGCTACTGCGGTTAGACCGCACTCAGGTGAAAATTGAAAGTCAGGTCCCAGCTTGGATAGTTGTCAGCAGATTGCAAAGTGCCTCACAGATGCTTGATTTCTTCAGGCGTGTTCAGGAGTGGGTGGAGGTAAAGAAACAGGTAAAGCACATACAGTGGCTTGCAAAAGTTTTCGGACCCCTTGAACTTTCCCACATTTTGTCACATTACAGCCACAAACATGAATCAATTTTAGTGGAATTCCACATGAAAGACCAACACAAAGTGGTGTACACGTGAGAAGTGGAACGAAAATCACACATGTAATCTAATGTCAGTACAAATACAGCTGCTCTGTGACGGCCTCAGAGGTTGTCTAAGAGAATATTGGGAGCAACAACACCATGAAGGGATAAAGTTACTGAGAAATTTAAAGCAGGCTTAGGCTACAAAAAGATTTCCCAAGCCTTGAACATCCCATGGAGCACTGTTCAAGTGATCATTCAGAAATGGAAGGAGTATGGCACAACTGCAAACCTACCAAGACAAGGCTGTCCACCTAAACTCACAAGCCGAACAAGGAGAGCGCTGATCAGAAATGCAGCCAAGAGGCACATGGTGACTCTGGACGAGCTGCAGAGATCTACAGCTCAGATCTCATGTGGGGGACACAGCAAACATGTGGAAGAAGGTGCTCTGGTCAGATGAGACCAAAATGGAACTTTTTGGCCAAAATGCAAAACGCTATGTGTGCCGGAAAACTAACACTGCACAGCTCTCTGAACACACCATCCCCACTGTCAAATATGGTGGTGGCAGCATCATGCTCTGGGGGTGCTTCTCTTCAGCAGGGACAGGGAAGCTGGTCAGAGTTGATGGGAAGATGGATGTAGCCAAATACAGGGCAATCTTGGAAGAAAACCTCTTGGAGTCTGCAAAAGACTTGAGACTGGGGCGAAGGTTCACCGTCCAGCAGGACAACGACCCTAAACATAAAGCCAGGGCAACAATGGAATGGTTTAAAACAAAACATATCCATGTGTTAGAATGGCCCAGTCAAAGTCCAGATCTAAATCCAATCGAGAATCTGTGGCAAGATCTGAAAACTGCTGTTCACAAAAGCTGTCCATCTAATCTGACTGAGCTGGAGCTGTTTTGCAAAGAAGAATGGGCAAGGATTTCAGTCTCTAGATGTGCAAAGCTGGTAGAGACATATCCTAAAAGACTGGCAGCTGTAATTGCAGCAAAAGGTGGTTCTACAAAGTATTGATTCAGGGAGCTGAATAATTACGCACACCCCACTTTTCAGTTATTTATTTGTAAAAAATGTTTGGAATCATGTATGATTTTTGTTCTACGTCTCACGTGTACACCACTTTGTATTGGTCTTTCACGTGGAATTCCAATAAAATTGATTCATGTTTGTGGCTGTAATGTGACAAAATGTGGAAAAGTTCAAGGGGGCCAAATACTTTTGCAAGCCACTGTAATAGGGCAGTCTGCTCCTGAACTCTGTTTGTCCCACTCTGAGCTTGTGTCTCCTAGAGACCTCTTCCTGTTAAAAGGGAGTTCTTTCTCCCCACTACCACCAATAACTTGTTCATAGTGGATGGTCTGATCTTTGGGTTTTGCTCTGCAATATTGTAAGATAAGATAAGATAAGATAGAACTTTATTAATCCCTCGGGTGGGTTCCTCTGGGAAATTCGACTTCCAAAAAAAGCACAGCAACGACCGAAGTTACAGTTACAGAATTGTTATATATATACACACACACACACACACACACACACACACACACACACACACACACACACACACACACACACACACACACACATATATAAATACAGAGACAAATATAAATAAAATATACGAAGGGGATAAATAGAATAAATAGGAATAAAAAATAAAAATACAAGTGAATTGCACATTTCAAGTATTGAGTCTATTGCACTGTTGACTATTTACAAAAAGTATTGCACAAGGTATTGTACAGTGAGGTGAAGAGGCACTACAGCTTAGTTGTTCCCTCCTTTGTCCTCCTGTTTCCCCTCCCTCTCCCCTCCAGAGAGGAGTTAAACAGTTTGATGGCGTGTGGGACAAAGGAGTTTTTCAGTCTGTTAGTTCTTGTCTTGGGGAGAAGCAACCTGTCACTGAACAGACTCTTCTGATTGTTTATGGCCGTGTGCAGAGGATGCCCAGCATTGTCCATAATGTCCATCAGTTTCTTTAATGTCCTTTTCTCTGCCACTGTCACCAGAGTGTCCAGCTTCATGCCGACCACAGAGCTAGCCCTCCTGATCAGTTTCTCCAGCCTGGATGAGTCCTTCTTTGCTGTGCTGCTCCCCCAGCACACCACAGCATAGAAAAGTACTCCAGCAACCACCGACTGGTAAAACATCCTCAGGAGCTTCCTGCAGATGTTAAAAGACCTCAGCCTCCTGAGGAAGTACAGTCGGCTTTGGGCTTTTTTATACAGGTGCTCTGTGTTGCATGACAAGTCCAGTTTATTGTCCACCCACAGCCCGAGGTACTTGTACTTGTTGACCACCTCCACCTCCTCCCCCTCTATCTGAACTGGCAGTGGACCTTCTCTGGAGCTCCCGAAGTCCACAACCAGTTCCTTAGTCTTTGAGGTGTTGAGTTGCAGGTGGTTTGTGTGACTCCATGCGACAAAGTTCCTCACCAGACTTCTGTACTCCTCTTCCTGATCATCCCAGATACACCCCATGATGGCTGTGTCATCTGCAAACTTCTGAATGTGGCATAATTCAGAGTTGTAGCAGAAGTCAGAGGTGTACAGGGTGAAGAGAAGAGGGGACAGCACAGTTCCCTGTGGTGCTCCTGTGCTGCTGACCACTGTGTCAGACGTGATGTCCTTCAGCCTGACGTACTGTGGTCTGTCGGTGAGGTAGTCGGAGATCCAAGCCACCAGGCAGGGGTCCACCTCCATCCTGTTCAGTTCTTCCTGAAGCATACAGGGCTGGATGGTATTAAAGGCACTGGAAAAGTCAAGAAACAGGATCCTGACCATGCCTTTTCCCCCATCCAGGTGTGAGTGGGCTCTGTGTAGGAGGTACAGGATGGCATCCTCCACTCCGACACCCGCCTTGTATGCAAACTGTAGTGGGTCCTGGGCATGTTGTACCTGTGGTCGGAGGAGGTTGAGGAAGAGCCGCTCTAGAGTCTTCATAAGATGTGACGTCAGTGCCACCGGTCGGAAGTCATTCAGCTCATTGGGCCGGTTCCTTTTGGGGACCGGGACGATGCAGGATGTCTTCCATAGGGCGGGCACTCTCCCCAGTTGCAGACTGAGGTTGAAGACTCGTTGTAGCGGCTCCCCAAGTTCAGCAGCACACGCCTTAAGCATCCTAGGACACACCTTGTCTGGGCCTGCTGCCTTTCTGGGGCGAAGCTTCCTCAGTTGCCTCCTGACCTGATCCACTGTGACACTGGGAGGTGTTTGGGAGGAGGGGAGGGGGGGAGATGTCTTGCTGCTGAGAGAGGGATTGGAGGAGGGGGTGTCATGGTGTCAGGAAGGGGGGGAAGCGAGGGAGGGAGGGAGGGAGGGAGGGAGGGAAGCGAGGTAAAATGTGGTAAAATGTGGTAAAATGAATGCAGACAAAACCTTTCTATTTATTTTGTGTCTACAGAGCAGGTCCATGAGGAGCTGAGACATGTAGTGGGAAGCCGAAAAGTCAGTGCTGATGATAGGAAAAACCTGCCGTACACTGATGCAGTCATTCACGAGATCCAGAGACTGGCTAATATTCTACCTGTATGTCTTCCTCACCAAACTAGCCGAGATGTCACCTTCCAGGGATACTTTATCAAAAAGGTCAACTGCTCATCCACAAAAAATACCCTTTATTTGACATTTTGATTCACCTCTGATAACTTGAATCGCACATCTATGATAAATGTGCTCTTTTGCCTACAGGGAACTATTGTATTTCCCCTTCTTACTTCTGTCCTGTATGATGAGAGTGAATGGGAGAGCCCACACACTTTTAACCCTTCTCATTTCCTGGATAAGGAAGGTAAATTTGTCAGGAGAGATGCCTTCATGCCCTTTTCTGCAGGTATGACAACTTTATCAGGCTTTTGTTAAGAAAATTTGCACTTGCACAGGCATGACTTGTTTAAATAAGCGTAAACTCTTTGCATTTGCAGGTTACAGGATGTGTCTTGGAGAAGGTCTGGCTAAGATGGAGCTCTTCCTCTTCTTCACCTCCCTTGTTCAGCGCTTTTGCTTCACTCCTACACCTGGAATTACAGAGGATGAACTGGATCTCACACCAGCTGTGGGATTCACCACCCCTCCTTCATCCCATAAGCTGTGTGCTGTCAGTCGCCAGTGAGAGAGGGCTTAAGCAGGGCTTCTCCTAAGACCCAAACTCTTCCATCGCATGCATTTTTAATTTCTCTTTGATATTTGCTCATATTGGAACCCGATGAATGTAAAAACAAAGAATTACCATATATATATATATATTTTTTTTACCTAATTTTTGTTTCTAAGAAAAATGAGAGCCACATATGAGGATATTCATTTAAAATTTCGATAGAACAGTAGCAGTATAATGTCCTCGTAAGTGGATATCAGGCGCTTGTAGACCAAAATACTCAATTTTGGTCTAAATAACCCAAAATGTGATGTCCACATATGTGGACGCCAGGTCCTAGGAGGTTAAAGTGGATGCCTGCGGCAAGCAGAAGGATCATTTTTCAGCCACCACTAGCAGATGTCATGATCCTTAACGCCTGGATTGTTGAGCAAAAGCAGATGTTGCGAGATAAAAGGATATGAATGTATTTCAGTCCTTCACATGAAGGCTAATAAAACTGTATTAACAGGAATGAGTGGTGTTCTTTAGAGATGGGAAAACTGGTCTCATTTTTTGCATGAATTTGCTGTTTTTCTATTTTCTATTAATATCTATTAAATCAGAAAGAAACTGTTCCTTAAGAAATACCAAAAATATATAAAATGCCACACCATGTTACAGAAAGACAAAGCATCTCATAATATGAGAACATTTCAAATCAATTCAATTCTGTTTACTGTGAATTCAAAAGTTGTAATATTTAAACCTGATCAGATTTGGTTTAACATAGACTGGCATCTCCATTTAGCTGATTCTTTTGCACATGTAAACAACAATTTTCAGACTGATGTATTATTTTGGTTTGGAAAAGAAGAAACTGAACTTTCCTCTGTCTGTGTGTAATGAGCACAGTGGCTGGCTAGCTCTCTTTCCTTATTAAACCAGCCAAGATTTGAGCTTCCAGGGAAACTTTATTGAACAGATTAACTGCTGCAGTTTCACTACTTGACAATAAAATCCCCCCCGCCTGTGCCGTTTGGTTCTTTTGCCATCAGAATTATTGTCTAAAGGCAAAGAAAGATGCCCAACAGATTTACTTTACCAAATAGACCATCCCAGCCTTGCTGTATTGGTCTATTTGATTCACCTTTGGCTCCAGGACCCGACAAGCAGCCACCAGGAGTGAGCCAGTGTGTACCTGGACGCCCATCCCCAGACACAAAACCCACCAACGCACCGATGTCTGAGGGCGCCTGCCACTGGCAGGGGAAGTGGTGGGGGGAGATAGGCCTCCATACCTTGGAGGGCCTGAGATGTCCCTAGAGAGGTGGCATCTGATACCCAACCTGACATATAGACACAGACAAACAGGCACACACAGATACAAACATCCATTCCCACCCTCATGCTCTCATATGCAATTACTCAGCACTCACCCAACGTGGAGACAGACATAGAGAGACACTGTACACACAATCACACTCCCCAAGCGTACTCTAAGCCCCAGGTCTAGGTACCCTTGCCCCTGGAGGGGGAAACTGCACCCAAACCCAAGTAGTGTTACCCTCCTCCCTGGGGTGGAGAGAAGCAGACCGCCCCGACTCTGCAGCAGCAGGGAGGCCCCACATTCCAGATCCCAATCAGACGGCCAACTCCTCCTTCAGGGAGGCAGCTGGAGATAGGGAGGGAAGGAAGGGAGGGGCCAGCTCCCTCGCTGACACCAGTAGGCACCCCCATACTCTTCAACCCACCAGGGCAAGGGGGCCCAGGCCCATCCGGACCGGGGCCCAGTTCAGCAGTGCCGCCCGGCCCCACCACCCAACCCCACCACAGAGAAAACTGCACCCACCCCGTCATCCACTCATCTTCCAGACTACACAAAACAATAGATACCCAGGCTGAGTTCGTCCTCCACCTCTCCTATATCTCCCCCACCTGCAGAGTGAGTTCCTGGAGTTGTTGTACTATACATGTTGTACTATATTTTCTATTTCCATGGACTGTTATGGAATAATTTTATATTGTTCTGGGTTTAATCTTTATAAAAAAGAGCTCTATCGTGTTAATTGGATACTGTAAATACATTTGGACAAAGTAACTCTTCTAATGGCTTTTAATTTTCGTCACTTTGGGTATTTTGTGTTTAAAAATAATATTGTTAAGAAAAAATTCCAAACACATTCACATAAATGATTAAAGTATTAAAGATGGAAAAAAGTGTGTTTAATCTACTTTTGAATTATGATTTTGTAAATGGCTATTAATAACTATGTTTCAGGAAAATAAAATTACAAATTCTTGGCATCAAACTAGAATTTAATGTATAAAATATCAGATAAAATATCTGATATTAGGCCAAAATGAAGATAAAAATTGATTTGGCTAAACTTACAAATGCGTCTTTTACATTTGCAGATCATTCCAGATAAACGTCGAGTTGGTGTTGAATTCTCTTGAAATAAATAAATAAAGTGAAACTTCTGGTATTAAAATTCCTCACGACACCGTTCAGTCCAGCCAGTTTTTATTCTCTGCTGAAATAAAGAAAAGGCAGAGATCAAATTTCTAATGTTGAAAAGGGACATGGTATACAATTAGAGCACTTGTGAGTGTTCTTTGTGTTGTTTTCTTTCCTGTCACCCTTTTGAATCTATGAATCATTAAAATGAGTACATCCGGACAAAACAAGTGCATTCCATTTCTTCTTTTTTTTAGATTACCCTTTACTGTCTCTGAATTTATCTTGGACAAATGTTGAAAACACATCACATAAGATAACACACACACACACACACACACACACACACACACACACACACGCAAGCCCGTTCAGCTATCTTAGTGAGGATCTTCATTTACATAATAGTTTCCCTAGCCTTTTTGAGAAACAAAAAGGGCTTCAAACTTGTGAGGACCGGTGAGTGTGTCCTCACAAGTGATTGTTGGTTCTCACAAGTATAGTAGAATGCAGATTTCGGTCCTCACAAAGATAGCTAGACAGGAACACGTACACACACACACACACACACACACACACACACACACACACACACACACACACACACACACACACACTTTACCTATTGCCATTGAAACATTTGCTTGATAATACCGCTGGAGAAAATTTACACCTATTTAACTTACAGTTTGGTACCCTATACTTTCTTTTGAACAGGTTTAAAAAGTTTAAGTTTTTCCTCTTCTCTATTTGCAATTTTGTTAATAAATGGTTAAAAACCCCCAAATCATTCTATTTTTAGAACAGTTTTTCTTCTACCAGCTATTTATTTGTAGATGCTGTGTTAAACAGGGTAGAAGATTTGCTTATCCAAATAAGAGTGCCATTAATTTCCTTGCGATCTATGGATTGATAATAACTCACAGTGTGACTGGTGAGTTTGGTCTAGTCTGTAACGTCACCTGCGTTAGTGTGTATGGAACGCCAGGACTGCCATAATGAATTAATTAAATACACCATTAAATAATTAATTAAATGTGGCAATAATTAATTAAAATTGGAATTAATTAATTAAATAAATAGTTAATTAATTATTGACACATTTAATTAATTATTTATGTATTTCACATTTTAATTAATTATTGACACATTTAATTAATTATTGACACATTTAATTAATTATTGACACATTTAATTAATTATTTAATGATATATTTATTTATTTCATTTTGGCAGTCCTGGCGCCTGGCTCTCATCTTGAAATAATTTTATCTGTCAGCCTCACCCATCAAACTCAGGGGGCGGGGTTAACGCTGATCGAGTCAAAACCATTGCTTTGGCCTGGTGGCCATTGTTTCTAGCACACAACAACCGGCATGTGGAAGCTAACAGAACTGAACTTTGAAAAACCCTGTTTGTGTGTTACCAAATACCGTTTTAATATTTTTTTAGCCGAGAATGTAGTGGTTTAATCTTCATGTGTCTGGTCGGTTTGTCAAGATACAGCCTCTTTGCAAAAGTGTTTCGATGATTTCGGAGATGTCTGCCCAGTCTCACGGCAAAGCGTGGGATACACCCGCTCGCCTCGTAAGCAATCCCACCGACAAAGCGCAGGCCCCGGTACACAGCTGTAGTAACCCCCGCTGACTTCTTTTACTGAGGTTATATTTATCGGTGTTTTATTTCCTGATGTTCTTATGTGTCCTACGTGTTTCAGTCGCCAATTCTGAATTATAACTAACATTAAAAACATGTTTAAGGAGGAGAGAGAGCAAATAAATCTGTTTAACATCTGATCTTTGGGTTTTTGTTCAGTAATCAGCGTGACCTGTGTATAAACGCATAAAAGAGATAACGTTGGTGTTTCCGTCATGTAGTAACTGCTGGCTTTAACTGTACAAAGGTTGTTCGACACTATGAAACACATACAGACTTCATGATGTTCGGCTAATATTTTTATTGTGAATATTAATCATGAGGGTAAATGGCCCTGTACACCACGGAGCGAGGTCAGCATGTATCAGCACGATATCCTCAGCTCCATGAGTTAACACAGAGTTTCCCAGCTGACTATCTAACTGCCAACTATTCCAGAGACATGAAAATATACAGCATAAAGAAAAGTGTTAGAGACTCAGCAGCAGATTAGAATAACAGTTATACATTTAATAAATCACCAAATGAATCCAAGAAACGAGCAAACCTGTTCCGACAATTTGAGTTTGTATTCCCTCAGCTGCAGACTCGCTGCTGTTTAAATGTTTGAAAAGGAAGATTAGATATAAACAAACGTCAAACATAGACTCAGTCTGCCTTCACATTTGATATGAGGCCAGCACGTATAGTGGGGCAAAAAAGTATTTAGTCAGCCACCGATTGTGCAAGTTCCCCCACTTAAAATGATGACAGAGGTCAGTAATTTGCACCAGAGGTACACTTCAACTGTGAGAGACAGAATGTGAAAAAAAAATCCATGAATTCACATGGTAGGATTTGTAAAGAATTTATTCGTAAATCAGGGTGGAAAATAAGTATTTGGTCACCTCAAACATGGAAGATCTCTGGCTCTCACAGACCTGTAACGTCTTCTGTAAGAAGCTTTTCTGTCCCCCACTCGTTACCTGTATGAATGGCACCTGTCCACAGCCTCAAACAGTCAGACTCCAAACTCC